AACCTTACCTTAAACGGTCTTTTCCATTCTGGGTGTTTCCATCTATTGTATGGTATTGTTGCAGCAGACAGTCCAAGGAAAAGCCATTTGGTAAAACTTAGATAATTTATGAGGCTGTAGATACTATTACTTGTCAGACAAAGCAAGCAAAAGGGAACCTAAAATGAGATAAGAATATAAAACATTTACATATTATTATCATTATTGGTTTGTTACTGAGTTCATGCAAAATAAGTGTCCATTAGACATTCAAGTGTAAATGGGTACCAGGATCTTTACGTACACTGAGATCAAGAGGGTGGGGAAGACTGGGGCCAGTGCCCCGTGCCCAAGGAATGATAGGTGCACAGGAAAAATAATGCATTTTTAATACTCAAGATGGTAACATTACCTATTCTCTATAAATATGTCTGTAATAGTTTAAATCTAAGGCATCTAAGTACAAAAATCATAGGCGTAGTAGGTGGGTGGGATTTTCCCTAAATCCCTCAGGGCCCTCTGACCATTGTCACCATACCTCTGGCAGCTATATTAGCTCAGGGCAAAAGGCCACTCTCCCTGATTAGGTAATGTATTTGCTTCAGTGTCATATCTAAGAGTTGGGGAAATGATGGAGACATGAAGGGTATATAGTGGGAAGAGTAGTGGGGTACTGGCTTACCATAATTAGAATAGCAGGTACTGGAGTCTTGTAGTTGATATGAATCATAGAAAATAATGTTGGTAGCTGTCCCTCACGAGAAGAAGCAAAATACATTCTGAGATATAAAATAGACAATTAAAATGCATTTTTGTTTTCCATTTCTTTTTCTAAAAAAGCTTTGATACATACATTACAAGGTAAGAAATAAAATGATACACTTGAATAAGCATATATTATTAGCAGGGGGAGGGCTAAGCTTTCCAGTGGGGTTCTGACAATTTCATGCAAAAATTACAAGAGTCTTGAGGTGGGGGTTCTGGGAAAACTTTAAGCAGTTCTGAGATGTTTCAGCTTTTATTTAGCCAAAAAAAAAAAAAATACTAAAGAGACTGGAGGATAGGGGGCTTGTTTTAACTGATGAAGGGCTAAGCACTGCAACTGATTAGAAAGAGTATTTTTATGTTGTTATCAGCTATCATCTCATAAGTTCCTATTGTATTTTTCTCATTAGTGTGCACAGTTAGATCTATGTGCAGTATTATGTCACTGTGAAAGGCTTTGTTCTCTGTCTCTTACTGATTAACACCAGGGAACAGTTAAATTCATAACAATACTAAACTGTATAATAAAAAAAAAACTGTAATAATAATTTAAATGTTCCCTGTTAACACTAGTTTATTTTCCTTGATGTTAATTGCCTTCCACTACTGTAGTTTTTCTCTACTGCTGATATTGCCTGGATTTTATCCATTATTTAATATATATTATATTTAAAGGATCCAAGGAACTCAAAATTCAAAAAAGAAGATTATAAGTTGTTTTCTAGGTGACTGGGTAACTTGCAAAGACAATGGCCTGTATGGTTATGAACCGTGGTTATAAGGACAGGGGTCAGATTTATCAAACTAGAAATCAGCCTAAATTGGTCTTAAGTCCATTTTTTTTGCTCAAGTCAAATTTATCCATATTGCTTAGCTTAAAAATTGCTTAAAATTAGAAAATCGATTGTACATTGGCGCCATCTAAGAACGAGTTTTAAGTCAAGATTTTGCTAAGATTGGGTAATAAATCAGTTTAAGATATTTATTAGGGACATCTTAACTTTTTTGACTTAAGACATTTGCTAAGCTGAGATTGATAAATCCCAGGCTAGGCCATTAAAAACTCACCTGGAAGTTGAGAAAATTGAACCATTAGCAGATCCAATGCATGAAGCAGTAACAATCATTGCCACAACCCACAACATTTGACTAAATGCAGCCTGCCAATATGCCTGTTGACAGATTCAAATAATATATTGTTAGTCAAACTGGGCACATTAATATTTTACTTAACTATTATTCTATTATTTATATGTAACAGTAGCATATTTTTCCCCAGATACAAACAAAAGCACACCACATTACACATCAAAACCCACAGTAATAAAAGCCACAGCCCAAAACCAAATGCACAAGAAAATTTCCAAGAGCACTAAAAAAATTAAAATAATCAACACAATAAAAAAAAAAAGAACTGAATTTAAAGGATAAAATGGATGGAAAATTTTCTAAATTTAAATTGATATTTACATATTTATTGGCTTTCATTTGGAAATTAAAACAAACATATATTTTCTTTTAAAAAAATACATGATATATTGTACATACCATATTTATTCGAATAAACGCCACGGGCAAATAAACACCCCCTCAAAAATTCTTCTTAACAATAAATGCCCCGAGGCGATTATTCTAATAAATAGGGTACTACTACGGTATATCATAGAGTATGCAAACCCTCAAAATTTCATGATAAAAAGTGTATACTATAAATTTTTGTTTTTTATCTTAATATTTTTAATACTTTTATCTTTTTATTTTAATGTAATTGTCCTCCAGTTGCCAACGATTCAATTTTTATTACCAAAGGCTTAGCTGTATATGAATTTTTATGTATTTTAATGTTTTGTATGAATTTTTGAATCTATTTTTTGAATACAATATACCTGAATAATTATTAATAGCAATATTGGTACAATATAGAATTTTTTGAAGTGTGCAGCTTAATTGAGACAGCTGCATTTTTAAGGGCTGCGCTTGTATTGTCAAAACAAATGAAATTGTATATGCTTTGCTTAAGGTATGCAATATGCACTACATAAAAATGACATTATTATTATTTTATGTACAGGGCTGTGAACTGTTATACAAATAGTATACATCTGTGAAATATTGGTTTTTTATATTATGGTTCTATTCAAACTGCTATTTGTAGTGCATTCAATAGTAATAGTGGGGTCTATAATATATAAAACAATTTTTTTTATGCTGACATTTTTACTAATGATAATGTGCCATACATGCATGCTAACGAATGCTGTAGACTTTTAAAAAAAATTCAAGCATTTTGTGCATTTTTTTAATTTGATACGAGCGCTGTGTAAACATCTTATTTATTGTTAACGTTAACTTACCAAGGCAACTGCCTCAGAATTTAAAACATCTTGAGCTGACAGAACAGTGAAGTATGATATGTTGACAAGAAGGTACAATGATGTTATCAAAACCATCGAGATGATAATTGAAAGTGGAATAGTTCTATGGATGAATGATGAACGCAGGATTACCAAAATGTTTTGGTTGGATTATCGTGGTTGTGCACATACAGTTAGAACCCTTATTAGGGACACCTTCCGGACCAAAATAATATCCCTATTAAAGTGTCACACTAAATCAAATACATCAGAAATCTCATGAGCAGAAAACATCAAAGAAAATAACACAGTATAGTCACTATAGAAATTTAAACAGGAGTAAGTTGCACAATTTAATCATGAACAGGTAAAAATTGTGAGGAATTTAAACAGGAACATGTAAAAATTGTGAGGAATTACGGTATTAATCAGAAACATGTATTTGTGAGGAATTTAATCAGAAACAGGTAATTGTCAAGAATTTAATCAGGGACAAGTAAAATTTGGAGGAATTAAATCAGGAACAGGTACAAACTCTGAGCAATTAAATCAGGAAAAGGTACAAATTGTGAGGAATTTAATCAGGGACAGGTAAAAATAGTGAGGAATTTAATCAGGAAAAAGTAAACATTGCAAAGATTTAATCAAGGACAGGTAAAAATTGTGAAGAATTTAATCAGGGACAGGTAAAAATTGTGAGGAATTTTAACAGGAACAAATAAAAATTTTGAAGAATTTAATCAGGAACAGGTAAAAATTATAAAGAATTTAATCATGGACAGACAGGTACAAATTGTGAGGAATTTAATCAGGAACAGGTAAAAATTGTTAGGAATTAAATCAGGTAGAGGTAAACATTTCTCACCTTTGAGGCTTTTGAATTTCTTCAGTAAGCTGTGGTAGACTTTGCCTAGTATAAAATAAAAATGGAAAGTAGAATAACTCACTTTTTGGACAATAATTTTAATATATTTCATTTTTTCCTGCGTGCCAACATAATTCAGTACTTTAGTACTGTTGACAGCTACAATTTACTGTTATAAGCTCCATTCCTGGCAAAATTTCAGTTAAGAAATCTCTGACTTTTATACAGTATATTATAAATATTTATAAATATAATACAAAATTGCTAGTTTAACTAAATTTAGACATTCGTTAAAACATGAAAAAAAAAAAGTAAAGTAATACTGCAATTTGATTTTTTTGTGTTCCACAAAATTTTGTGATAGATCTGCGAAGAAATGTATTGGGCGAGGGAAACATTATCCTAGTACTGTAACACTGTAGGCTAGGCCAAGCTTTACCTTGACTTACTGTAGGTTCTGTTATCAGTCATTAAAACGACCTACATGATATTTACTGTACACTTGTTAAATATATAATATTTCATTGAAATTATTTCAAATTTGTTAAAAAATGATTCTGAACTGGATTTTGACAATTAAACAAACATCGCAGGACTACTCGATCGACCGCAGTGTGCGAGATGCAAAGTACAAAACCTAATCTCATTAGAGAGGGCACACTTTATTTATCGCTCACGATTGTATCGGCGATGTAAACAGTTCAGTAAAACAGATTAATTAATGATTTTTTTTTTTAATTAATTGTGGGATGAATTAAAATATTTTATCAGAGTTCATTCCAGCGGATGCATTCTACAACCTCTGGATTTGCCTCGTAAAGAAGTTGTTGAGAAAATGATAATCTTATATTTAAATTAGTCACTATTTCTCTTTTTTTTTTGTGTAAAACTAAAATTTATGCCAATATTTTTCCATGGTTTATAATAACTAGAGTATTATGCATGCATTATTTTTAAAAAAATATATTTTATAGTGAAAATTTGCAGGGAATGGGGCCTTAATAAATTCCCATATTAGCGGTATAACTATAATTTTTTACAATTTTTAGAATATTCAAAAATCAAAAACAATTATGGTGACATATGCATTTATGCTGGAATACAAATTACAGAATTATCAAGCTTCATCCGTGAGAAAGACTTCAGATGATGAAAAGAACAATGGAGTACTACTTTATTGACAATACTGCAATTAAGCTGTTGCAAGCATTTATAAATGAAGTTGACATTCTGAATATATTGCTTCTCATCTTTTGCTTAAAATAATAGTGTAGTACTGTAGACCATAATTGGTTTGACACCTGTTCCATTCTAATTTCTAGTGCATATATACTGGTATATTTAATGCAGTGCTACTAATTATTATCTTATTTTTACTTGGTTTTTGTGCGAGTTGGGTTGGGCTAACTTGGAATTCATTCCGAATTGGTTGTGGTCCAATAGCCCCGGGGCGGATCCAAAATTTTTCAAACAGAAAAGTACAGTAAGTAGCGATTATTTCAACACATATATCATTGATATGCATTTAAATTTTAAAATTTATAAACCAAAACATGCCAACCCCCAATTTCCTCTACTGGATCTTCCCCTGCCCCTGCAATAGCCTGTGTTACAGTATGTTGGACCAAGTTCAGTATTGTCAAAATGAGAAATTATATTCCAGTAATTTTTTTAAGATACAGAGTCAATCAAGGTGCATAGCACCAAGGATAGAGTTTGGGATGGTATTCCAAAACAGACCAACTACCAAAAAATACAGCTAAAAAATTGGTGTATTACAAATATCATTAATATGTACAACTGAAAGTCAAACTATTTTTATACTTTGTTCCGCAAACTTATTTTTATAAAGATCGTCAGAGGGAAGGTAGAAAAAAATAAAAGTAAAATGTTGCTTTCTTAATTAGCAAATTGTTTTGCCAAAAACATCTAAAATGGGAAGAGAAAATAAAAATAAAAGTTTAATGGTCAATGTAAACAGTGTAGTAATGGGATGGTTAGATGCTTTAAATTTATATAATTTGGAAGAATCATCTTTTTTGAGATTTCAAGGCAGTGGTGGGTGAAATAAAGATAAAGAAAAAACTTTCATTTCTTTTCCTAAAATTTCAAAATTTTTGTGGTGTGCTAATTGGCCAAAAATAGGATTTTACTTTTATTCAAAATCATCACTATTGGCAGGCGGAGTGTTCGCGAAACAAGGTATAAAAAAAGTCTTGCCTTTATACAGTACACTAAATATTGCATGCTGAAATTTCAACAACAAAAAAATGCTCCTACCATCCTGAATATGCATACATTCCTGAATAAAGTGCTAGAGGAAGATTTGCATACTGGATGTCTGATTGAAAGCCCTCGTTAAAATGATCCCTATGACCTGAAATAGAAAATCCAAAGTAAACAGTGTATTTCAATGACATTCATGACTAAAAAAAAACAAATATATTTTTTAAACAGAAAAGAGGATTTAAATTGTTGGCTACAATTATAATGATTATTGGGCTTTGTAATGAAAAGTACAGATTAAAAAACAACATGTCATGGAACGAACGTTACTCTGAATAATGAGAGTGAAGCCATGATTCAACGCTTCGACCCTTCGGGTCATCTTCAGATGACCCAATAAAGGCCGAAATGCTGAATCATGGCCTCCCATACAAAAAAAGGGATGGTCTTTCATAATGTCAGAATCATTCTTAAGTCAACGCTGTTGACTTGAGATATCAAACCTATCATCAAACTCTACAAAGTGAACGTAACAATATTTCAACCTTCAGACTCATGTCAATACGAAAAATCATTTTGTTTATATATTTTGAATTATATTCCTTTTTTTTTTTTTTTTACTGAAAATGAAATATGGTGTCCAGTTTCTTTTTATTATTTTTCTCTTAATTTGTTCATGTTGTACTCTTTTTGACAATTTGACTGTATTGGATTGGAGGTATTTATTCAAATTGTCCTTCTGGTGCTGAATTGGGCAGAACAGCCTTCTGTTTTCCGAAGAGTGTACTGCATTCTTTAACGTGGACATGGGCCCATTATTGCACACAAGACCAACTGCTTAAAAGTTTGTGAAACTTGCATTTCAGCCCTCAAGCTTAAACACAAGTCCCGATCAGCGATGGGAATTGAACCTACTTACTGCTGTCACTGTAAGGTAGCCCCTCCATAAAATTTCAGCATCCATTTGTGATTTCTGGGCATCCCATTTTTGGGATGTGTACCACAGTTTGTGGAACACAGATTATGAAACATTGAGGTGTGCTTAGTATGCATATTAATCAAAATAACCCACATAAATCTCAAAAGATAAAATTTCACACTATTCTCTTCTAGTGTTGAGATTGAAAGTTTTTGTAGGTATTGTAAGAAAATTATTACAGTACGATTATATGTTTGTCATTACCTTTGAAAAAAAGATAAATTCCAGGTACTATGATGGTGATGAGCCCAAGAACTTTAGCAACAGTTAGGAATTGCTGTATCCTGGATGTCCACTTTACACTCACGCAATTAATATAGAAAAGGCAACCTGCACAAACAACAGATACTGTAATTTTAAAACAAAGTGAATAGCAAACTAAGCTAAAATCTGACGTTTAAAGTTGACACTATCAGAGGTAGAAATTGTGCATTAATATTAAACTAATGTAGTAAGCAGCAGTACTGTAGTAGCAGCAGTACTGTAGTAGCAGCAGTAGCAGTAGTGTAGCAGTAGTAGTAGTAGTAGTAATAGTAGTACAGTAGTAGTAGTAGTAATAGTAGTACAGTAGTAGTAGTAGTAGTAGTAGTAGTAGTAGTAGTAGTGTAGTAGTAATAGTAGTACAGTAGTAGTAGTAGTAATAGTAGTACAGTAGTAGTAGTAGTAATAGTAGTACAGTAGTAGTAGTAGTAATAGTAGTACAGTAGTAGTAGTAGTAATAGTAGTACAGTAGTAGTAGTAGTAATAGTAGTACAGTAGTAGTAGTAGTAATAGTAGTACAGTAGTAGTAGTAGTAATAGTAGTACAGTAGTAGTAGTAGTAATAGTAGTACAGTAGTAGTAGTAGTAATAGTAGTACAGTAGTAGTAGTAGTAATAGTAGTACAGTAGTAGTAGTAGTGGTAGTAGTAGTAGTAGTTAGTAGAAGTAGCAGCAACAGTACCAGTAGCATTAACTGCAGCAGTGTAGTAATGTGGAAATACAGTAGTATCAAGTATTATTAGCACTGTAATACTGTACAACAGGTAGTGGTAATAGTAGTAGAGTAAAGTTAGTAGTAAATAGAGCCTACAGTACATTGTCAGTGTACAGTATTTTGATGTTTTTAAATACTTTTAGTCAAAACTAAAATAAACATAACCAAAGTTGATAATAATATATTTTGATAAATTTTACTTACAAGTTAGTACTGCAGTGATAAGACGGATTGCAACTTCCGGGAGGTCTTCACAAGTGGAACCTATTAATGGTTTCAGGATGTACACAGAAGCAGTCAAAAGAACAACCATTATGCTGCCAGTGCGAACTGCTACCAATGATGTCCATATTCTAAGAAAGCCTATCATAGGTCCAAAACTTTCTAGTAAATAAATATAGTCTCCTCCTGATTTAGAATATGTGGTGCCCAGCTCTCCATAACTGAGAGCGCCAAGGGTGTTGACGATGCCGCAGACAACCCACAAGACCAGCGATATATTCACATTAGGAACCTCCTGAAGAATTCCCTTTGGTGAGACAAAGATACCTGAGCCAATGGCAGAACCAACAATTACAGAAATACAGGAGGCTAGTCCAAGTTGACGTTTTAGTACCACAGGGCCATCATTTGTAACTACGGTTTTGTACCTAGGATCACTGGTGAAGTTTGTTTCATCCTCATCACTTGTATCCTGATCAGGAAGGAGGGGTACGGCATCGTACTGTATTGTGATTTCTCGCATTCTCATTTCCTTTCACCTATTGAAAATTTAATGATTTACAGTATTAGCTTTAAAATCTTTTTTTTTTCTGTCTGTTTTCTGCGTTTGATGTTTTTGATGAATGATTTGACACATAAAGTGAACAATGGAAAGAAAATTTCAACTCCTAATAGACCGAATCGGCGCCATCAGCTATTACTGGACACGTGACATATAGTGGGTACTAAATGTAAACAGCCACATCGTAAACCACATTGCGCTCAGTTTGAACAAAGTATCTTGAAAGTTATGATGTTTTTTAGACAGCGACCCAAAGTAAAGTAAAGGCAGTAGGCCTACAGTATGTCTTTTTTTTTAATAGTGATTTATAATTACTTTGGCAATCTCTGTGCAATTTATTTAGGCTCTGGAATGCTGCTAGTGTAGGCTACATAATACAGGTATAGGCCTAAGCTGCACTCTAGTGTTAGCCTTGACCAGGGTCCGGACCAGGGAGGAAGTTGTTATGCCTCGACTGTAGTCGATTAGGTAATAAAGTAGAAAATAACAAGCGCTAATGCACTTTCGCACCTAACTTTTAATTCTTAATTTTTTTACTTCAATATTCTTCTTACAGTCAGAACATATAATTATAACATGTTCACATGATTCAACCACTCACAAAGTTCCTTTTTAACAAATAAGTACAGCAAATCTGTGCTCACTAGCATGACGAGCCTACTGCCATTTTGCAATCAGTATGAAATTGCCAGTTTTATGTAATTAAACATTTATGAAAACTTATTTATTTGCGTTCGTATGTCATTTCAGGTATGCGTTATATTTATGGTGTTTGATTATGATGTGTATTCATGTGACATGAAATTCACAATCCATGTACAATATTATTACTTTAAAAAGATTAGTAATGATCCAAATGCATACACGGACAAAATAGTAATATATTATTACGTACTGGCTGGCATTAGGGTACCGGGAACAGGTCAAAACGGCAAAAAACAAAAACGGCAATAAGTCAAAACGGCAATGACCAAAAAAACGGCAAAAAACCAAAACAGCAACACTTTAGACCAAAACGGCAATGACCAAAACGGCAATAATAAATACCAAAACGGCAATGATAAGTACCAAAACGGCAACAAACCAAAACAGCAATGTCAACTACCAAAACGGCAATAGGCATAGACCAAAACGGCAAAGGAACAAAAATCAATGCCAAGACTGCAGCGCCACCTGGCTCGGGCAGCAGTTTATAACATCCACGACGAATTATTTCGTTATTTTAAAGTGTTATTATTATTATTATTTTTATTTCTTCTTATTATTATTATTAATGTTGTCATTCTTTAAAGTGTTTTTTTTTCTTTTGCGCGTTTTTACTTAAATGTTTACTGCTTTCATATTGTGATTGCCAATCATTTTACTATTGAATTTGTATGTTTTACTATTATTATTATTATTATTATTATAATTATTATTATTATTATTATTAATGTTGTTCTTCTTTTGCAATTTTTACTTCTACTGTATGACAATTTAGCTTCATTTTCACCGTATTTATCGTTGTACACTTTCATGTTTATAATTGGTTTTATGTAGTGCCCCATTGCAATTGGAAGTTTTACTTTTTAAAGAAAACTTTCATAGACCATCCTTGCATCATCTTTTATTGTATATACTTTCTGTCCTGCCTTGTGCGAATTTTTTTGTTTTGTACAATGTTTTGATGATGAGAAATAAACTGAACTGATGATATACCAAAATAAATATTGAATCAGAATGGTCTGTTAATTTTATTTGAGTTGTACTAAAGGTAACGCCCATGGAATGTTACTTTCAATAAACATTTTAATTTTTAAAAAAAGGCGTTTTAAGCAAACTATTGTTGATTTTATTTAGCCATTTTCATTCAGTATGTCATTTTGGAAGTGTTGCCGTTTTTGTTTATTGCCGTTTTGACTTATTGCCGTTTTAGTCTTGCCGTTTTGACTTTTTGCCGTTTTGGTCCATTGCCGTTCTGGTCTAAAAGTGTTGCTGTTTTAGTTTTTTGCCGTTTTTTTGGTCATTGCCGTTTTGACTTATTGCCGTCGATACCCTAATGCCAGCCAGTACGTAATAATATATTTGTTTAGGCCTAGGCCTATGACATGTCATATGATGATCATCGTCCTCTCAGCAGTAATTATTAACATCCTATGATTTAATTTTGGATTTAAAATAACTGTAAAATAATACTCTTGTAACGAATGGGGAGATTCGTTATTTCTTTTTTTCATGCTGCGATAGCATTTCCCATGAATATTCTTGACTTAGCCTAGGCCTAAAAAGTACTTCAGTGCATAGGCCTATAGGCCCTATGATGATGTATGCCTAGGCCTATACTTTACTAATGTTTTGCCGGGTGGCTGGACTTTCTTGAGGCCCAGCCACCTGGCATATCCATACGAACGGAAACAATTCGTTTCAAACTATATCTCTGAAACACATAATATAACGAAATAAATCAAAATAAACAAGGAGTCTATGCCTACCTCGCTTACCAACATTAGTATCATTATTAGAAAACAACCATCACTTTTTGAAAAGCATTCACGTCCACATATATTCGCTGTTTTGATTTTAACTGAGACCAGCGTGACCACTCACAATTTTTGATATACCCAAGATAGAGCACTCGCATTGTAAAAATGAGGCGGAAGTCGTGCCCAACGTAGGCGGCGCCCTTTTTTTAACCATGCACGTTTCCTATACTTCGGATAGAGATCCTGCTGCAGACCGGCAGCGAGACATAAGTCAGCCACGCTTTGCAAAGCAGCCAGGCTTTGCAAAACAGTGACGTAGCTTGGCTCTTCCATTTTTAGCATAAGGGAAACTGTTTTTGAAGGTAGTATCGCGTCATTTTACGTCAAACCATAACAATCTGCGTCAATGTAGGTAAATTTGCGTCAATATACGTAAATTCCCGTGAAATTAACGTCAACACTAAAAAAAAATCTGAGTGTTTGAGGT